TTGTGAAACGTGAATTTGCACTCCTTGATTTTGCCCTGCAATTTGTGAATTGATTCGTCATCAAATGGAACTCTCCCACAAAGCATCACGTAGAGAACGACGCCAAGAGACCACACGTCGACTTCTGGCCCAACGTACCTGTTTCCCTGAAGCAGCTCTGGTGCTGCGAAGTAGAGTGATCCACAGAATGTGCTCAACTGGTCCTCTTTTTCGTAGAAGTTGCTCAGCCCAAAATCAATCAGCTTCACGTTGTCGTCCTTGTCGATCATGATGTTCTCAATCTTCAGATCACGGTGCACCACCGCATTCTTGTGAAGGTAGTCGACTGCTGAGAGAATCTGCCTGAAATACCTTCTGACTCGCTCTTCCCCAATTGGCCCATTTTGTAGCACCGTGTTATAGAGCTGCTCCCCACTCACGTGTTCGAACACCAGAAAGAAGTATTTTCCAGTAAAGAAGAAGTCAAGCAGTCTGGCAACGTGAGGATGGCTCACCAGGGAGCAGATCAGCACCTCCCTGAAGACGCGCTTATCGGAGATGTTCTTTGCCTTTCGGTCGATTATTTTTATGGCCACTGTTTCACCAGTCTCCTTGTCCACGGCCTCAACCACCTTCGCAGACGACCCCTTTCCAAGCGTCTTCTCCATTCGGTACTTCCCAATCCACTGGTCTTCGACGTAGTCCACGCTCTTCTTCAGGAAGAAGTCGCCTTCGACCTCGATGTTCTCCTCAGCCGAGATGTCTCCAATTCCATTTGCTTCACTCGATACGTCCATCCCCTTAATAGCACCATTTCATTTGAACTGGTGAATAGGAGAATAATTCACTTTTTATCCTTCTTATCGTGTACTGGATTATTGAAGAACAAATTATTGGCATTCGGGGGAGTTGAACCCGCGACCCTTGGCTCGCTGACGTAGGCAGTGAACCCATTCGGCTGTCTTTCGTCCTCAGAATTATTCGACGCATTCTCAAACTTCTTGTAGACGTGGGCGTGAGAGTTGCTGGGAGTCAGGTTTCTGGTCAGGTTGAGCTCCTTGAACGTGAATTCAGGCATCTTCCTCAGCGTGTTGATGTCATCCTTCACTACAGAATTATCCATGTTTATTCCACTGTTTACGCTATTCAGGTATTCGACCATTTCAACTGTGCT